CAAAATAAAAGAATGTTGCCCACCATCCAGTTCCACAAGAACCAAGTCACCAGTCCCTGCGGTCGCTGACCGACCGGACACCCTGAAAGGAGTTTGGGGTGAAGATCAGTGTGAGGCACTCTGGGTTCTAGGAAAACTGGCAGAACTGATACTCAGATAGTCAGGTACTTTCAGGAGAAGATTTTATAAAACCAGTTTCTTGCATCTTCCTCTACTTGGAAAATCACTAAAACCATATTAACTAAGATATCTGTTCTTCATGAATAGCAGTAACCTTCTACCAACCTGTGGTCTTGATTGCACTTTCCCTTTTGTCAAAATCACATGCTTGCTGGCCGCCCCACCCCCCACCTGTTCAGAACAGTCCTCCGATCTTTCTGAAAGACTGTTAAAATCCTCAGATTGCCTTGAGTAAAATTTTCCATTTCTTTCTCAGATTGACTGTTAATTTTTTGTCAACAGAACTTTTATTATACATGCATGTTTCTAAATGATAGATACGATACCATAATTTGGGGCTTTAACATTTACGTGAATGGCTTTGCACTGAACGTGTCTTTTTTTTTTAATTATTCAAAAGTATGTTTTAAAGACTTAACCCATGTTAATCCAAGTAGTTGGAGTTATTTCATTTTAACTCTGTACCATGGCATTGTTTACCACTTGAACTACTGAGGGACAGTAGTTGTTTCCAGATCTTGCTGTTATGAACAGTGTTTCGCGAGCGTTCTCACACATCATTTCTTATGTACGTGGTTTGTCGGAGCCAGCCGACAATCGATCAGGTCCAGAAAACCTGTGCTGCAGGACTGAGAAAGAAAGACAAGACTAAAAGGTGGGGTTGAGAGGGTCTCACTCTAGCCCGCAAGACACTAGGTCAAGAGTGGACGACGAGTTTATTTCTTGCAGTTAATTTATATGATTTTAACCCATTAGCTCATACATTCCTGCATGTAGGCAAATGTATTGTTTTAAGGCACATTAACAACGTGTACTAAAATCATTAACTTGTATATTGTTACAGACATCATTATTGTTTACAGTTCTCGTAAAACTAAGATTAAGAGTTCCTGGAACCAAGATGATAAACTAAGGCATTGTTCCTCTAAGCTAACATCGTGACTCATGTGCTATTATCTCAGGTGATTGTTCTTCAGGCTAAGATCACTAATTTGCATGCGGATTGTATCTCT